ATAAAATACACCCATTTAGGAATAGCAGCTACATGTTTGGAGTTTTAAAAGGAGCCATTTACCTTTGAGATAGAGATTAAGCCCTCAGAGAAGTACAAAGGTTAGGCAAGAACAAGCCACCTTTCTGAGCAAATCCATTTCCTGAGCAACAAGCCCCATGGACAAAGCTCTGTTCCCAATAGTGAACTTACATGCTAAGATTTATCTTTAGTCTTATTGCTATTTAATCAGAAATTACTCTCGTTTCTTCAGTTGTGACTTATTATAAGTAGTGTTTCTTTAAGGGGTCATGAAAATGTTGCTGCAACGTAATAAAAATCAAGAAGAAATTATTTATCTGGAAAAAACTTACTTTGCAAAGAGCCATTCAGGTTAAGGTGAGATTCATTCCCACAGGTACTTAAAATCTGCTCTTCTAAGTGTGGTCCAGCAGCATCAGCACCTCCTGGGAGCTCATCACAAATGCAGGATCTTGGATCTCATTTCAAACTTACACTATAGAATCTCATTTGAATGAGGTCTTCAGGTAGTTTATATGTGTATTAAAATTTTAAGCAAAATATCATTGTGAAGAATTCCTACTATCTGAAATTCTATCAGGAAAATTAATGTTTTATCTTATTAGAAAGTAGAAATTATCTACTTTAGGAAATTATCTACTTTACAGGATTTGTCACACAAAAGTGTGACATTTGCCTTATGATGAAACATCTCTGGAATGTGCCCCTGCAGTCCATGTTTGATGGTGGATTCAGAGTTTCTAGCACAGTACCTCCTCCCAGCCATATTCAGTCTCCATCTTATAGGCTCTCCTCCCTCCTCAGGTTTATGTTCCCATCACATCCTCACTATAGTTTCTGTTATGTGGGACTCTAGCTATGTGGCTTAAATGACACAAGAGAGGCTAGGAGAGCGTGAGTCTTACCAGCCTTAGATCCAACCATGTTTCACCATCTTAAATTACACCACATCCACCCAGCACTACTTGGTTGAGTCTGCCATATACAAGTTGTGCCATATTTCTAGATAAAGAGAATGAGTGTTCTTTTTGATTTCTTCATTAGAAAAAATCAGACTGAGGTTAAACTTTACCATTTATACATTGCAAACTGCCCAGATTGTCTTTTAGTAGCAAGGTTTTACACTAGTCATGAACATCCCATGAGCTGTGACAGGATGTGATTTTCAAAATCTGATTTCTTATATTCATTTGGTAAGCTGTTTATAAGACTACAAAGTATAGCCATAAATATAATATATACTACAAGAAAAAGAAACTCAGTGAACAAAAAGGATTAAGTACAGCATCATTTGACTTTACAACTTAAAAAAAAAATCTTATAGAGGAAATTATAATGAACTTCTTTACAGATGTCCTAAAAAAAAAAATGAACTCTAAAATGTTGTAACAGACCTAATTAATGTTTGAATTGTTCATTCTGAGAAATAGATTTTTTAATGTAGTATAAATGGGTTTCATATAAAATATTCTTGTCTGTATTTATTGTTTTTTCAATGCTTCTTCCTACACTATAGTAACAGCACATCAGAATAAGAAGTGAAGGGATTTTTTTTAAAGATTTATTTATTTATAAAAGAACTGGGGTACAGGTTAGAGGCATGGGTGGGTAAGAGAATTCACCAGAGAGAGCAGGGAGCAGAACAGGCAGACGGACCAAAGACACTGCTGAGGGGAGCAGTGGGCGAGGCAGGAGAGGTCTGCCACACCATGTGGGTTTCTCCCTGGACAGCTGGGAATGGAACCCATGCTTCAGAGGCTGCAGACAGCTTCACAGTGCAGTGTTCAACCCACTGTGCCACCGGGGAAGCCCAGGGATTTTGTTTTTGATTTTTGTTTTGTTTGCCTCTTGCTCATACTATACAAGTTAGAAGGTAAATAAAATAGTATTTCATTGACAGTGTTCATCTAGCAGTAGTATGGGTTTTTCAAAACAATAGCTATACTTGGGTTGAAAATCATTTGATCATTTTATTTATTTTTTTATTTTTTTAAAGATTTATTTATTTATGCATACAAAAGCTGGGGCACAGGCCAGAGATGCAGGGGGTGAGAGGATCCACTGGAGACAGTGGGGAACAGAACAAGCAGACTGACAAAATATACTGCTGAGGGGAGCAGCAGGTGAGAGAGGATAGATCTGCCTCGCATGTGGGTTTCTCCCTGGCCGGCTAGGGATCAAACTCATGCTGCAGATGCTGTGGATTGCTTCATAGGGCAGTGCTTAACCCCTTGCGCCACCAGGGAGGCCCCATTTGATCATTTTAAAAGCATTCACATTTGGTTCATAGAATGATTGGAGTCACAGATAATTGTAGTTACATTAAAATAATTTTTCTTTGGTCATTGACATAACCACACCAATGGTCACTTTTCAGCCCTAATGTTAATTTGCCTTCATGTTGCACTTGACATCTCCCTTGATATTGTCTTTTATCTCTTTTGTTTAGTGTCCTTCATGATCATTTTTCCCCTTCCTTTTAAATGTTTGTATTCCCAGAATTCCATATATATCCTTTTACATACATAGCATGGAACCACTACCATATCCCACTTAGAATTCCTTATTCTGGAAACCATTGGCATGTTGTCAGTAAATTCTCTCAAGCTACCTAGCAACAGCTATGTATTAGCTAGTGTGTTAGGCATGAGGATAACAATAACATTTATTAATGGAATCCAGAAGGCTTTAGGAGATATTGATAGAGAACCTAATTCATTCTCCTATTTTCAGATATTTCCTCATATTCATATATGACATGATTTTTCTTTGTTGGTTAGCATTGTCAGGCATAGTGATACATATGAAAAATTTAACATATGGGAAAAGGGATTAAAAATGAGTTGTGGTTTGCTTACTTCAGTTTCAGCGACTGCTTCATTGGATTGGTTTAGAACATAGATAAGGAACAGTCCTGAATTCCACATTGTAAATTTTGAATTTGAAGTGATGGTAAACCATCTGGGGTAAGAGGTCCTACTGGAAGTTGTAAATCAGTCTTTGGAATCCATATGTGGTGTCAAAATGGGAGCAAGATCTTTGAAAAAAATCAACTCATGGAATCCAGATTCTTTAAGTTCTAACTCAAATTTTAACACACAGTCTCAAGTATACTTTTATTAGCAGGATCCTAATTTCTTGGATTCAGCCTCTTAATTCTAGAATTTTTTATGTGTCTTTATGACTTATGATCTCAAAATTAAAATTTTTTCTGAATTATCCATTCATTCAGCATTTATTTATGAGGGCAGGATAAGTGGCAAAGGCTGCTCTAATCACTAGGGATAACATTGCAGCTAAGATTAATACAGGTTCCTCCCTTCTGAAGCATCAGTCTTTTTGAGGAGTGAGCTGTTAATCAAATAGCCATGCTGTAGTTCTAAGTAAAAAACGTCTGAGTTAAAGGAGACTTAATGTATTCTGAGCTGGTGGAGGTCTCCTCGAGAAAGTATTTTTTGTCATGAGACTAAGGAAAGACTGGTAGTTCCACATGTACAGGGAAAGGCCTGCTAGGCAGCAAGATTATATGAAAAGCAATGTGTATGGCAAATTTGAGGAAAAGAGGAAAGATCAGGAATACACTGAACAAGAAGCAGAACCAGAGTAGATGTGACTGAAGATGTAGACAAGGGTAAATGGTGGTTGAATTAACTAATGAACAACACTCTAGCATGACCACCTCCAGATACAAGAACTACTACTAGGTACTAAATTCCAGTGGAGGAAAATGAGAGGATTAAAAGGCCCTTTTGTTATTGGGCAGAAAGAAGGGCACACCAGACCCCCATAAATGGGTTCTGCTATCAGAAAAAGAGAAATATGAACTCTTTGTGTATAATATTGTCAGTATAAAATAAATGTAAGAGAATTAGTGTTCAGTAGAGAGAAGAGAAAGAATATAGTTACCCATCCTCTTGGGGTAGACACCCAGCCAAAGCACGGCCACTGAGGCCCGAAAGCTTGCCATAGTCCAAGGCACCTTCTGACAGAGTCCCATAGGAAAAGAGCAGAAGAGGCCAGGCAAGTCTGGAAGGAAAGAAACAAAATCAAAGTACAAATCAAGATAAAGGTTGCCATTGTCAGCCGCACCATGGGTCTCTCACCCACATCTCTTTCAAATGTCTTCTTCCTTGTCCCCCAGAACTTCTTCATGGCTCTCTGTTCTATGGATTTCTCCATGTCTGCTCTTCTGTCTCTGAGAGGCAGACCCTTCTTCTAGTCTTTTCTAGCTTCGCCTCAGAGCCAGCTCACCCTTTATTAAGTGGGGCAGGAAACATGGAACCTCCCCTTTCTATGGAGATGACACTGTTACACTTTGTTCTGTTGTGGCAGATTTGCCTCCTTAAAAATTCACCTGATAGAATCCTTTTTTTTTTTAGATTTGTTTATTTATTTATTTATACAAGCACTGGGTACAGTCAGAGGCGCGGGAGGGTGAGAGAATTCACCAGAGCCAGAGCGGGGAGCAGAGCAGGCAGAAGGACCGAAGTACACTGCTGAGGGCAGCAGCGGGCGGCAGGAGAGGTCTGCGCGCCATGTGGGACCCTCCTCTGGTGGCCGGGGAACAGCCGGGGATCGAACCGGTGCTGCAGAGGCTGCAGGCAGCTTCGCAACCCAGCGCTCAACTGCTGCGCCACCGGGGAGGCCCCTTGAATCCTATTTTTAACAGTCATACTGAGGTCTACCTGACTTGTGATAAACTGCTCATAGAGTGTACAATTTGAAAAATTTTGTAATGTATATACACCTGTGAACCTTACTACTTTAAGTTTATGAAAATATTCATTGTCCCTGAAAGAGTTTCTGAGCCCATTTGCAGCCCCTCCCTCCCCACACTGCACCCCCAGGCAATGATTGCTGTGTCATGCCTACAACAGTGCCTGACACAAACAGTAAATTTTGTCAGATAAATGAAAATTGAGTCTTTTTGGAGAATTACCTCTTGGTTTAATGTTTGGTTGGTTGCTCCGTCTTCCCTAGGTATGCAGTGCTGTGCAAAATCAGGATTTCACTGTGATCGAAGACTACTGCACGGGCCTCAAAGCCCTACTTTATCTGAAAAGCATCGAAGAACTCCAAGACTGGGATGGGCAGAGTCCAGCTACCATGAGGCACCAAAAAGGAAAACCAGTTCCTCGAATTGCTGAACTCGTGGGAAAGGTATGTGCTGTCCTCGCCTGTGTTGTCCTTGAGAAGTCCGTCTTGTTGGCTTTCTATTTCAGTTCTTATTTGTCCTCCCACCATCTCACTTACAGTGCCTGCTGGAAGTGATTTCTACAGTAAAATCATTCTGAAGAAGGCTTGATTACAGCTATGTGATGGTCTACGAGTACATCTTTATAAAACCAATATAACGCAAGGTCATATAAAAAAAAAAGGATTGAAGTTTTTAGTGTAAAGTGCCTCCAAGTTCTTGCTTACTGTGGTGATGACTGGCATTCTTTCCAGTGGGAGGCTGGAGATTTCTTTATTCTTTAACAAGCTCTGGAAATTATAACATTACCTTTCTATTTTCAAGACAATCAAATCACTAGAGCCCTGAATAATATGATGAAGTTTTTTAAAATTAAAATCTAATCAGTATCTTTTGTAACTGCTGCTGCTATGTGGTTAAACCTGGGCTCAAAAGGTTATGTCCCAACTTTCTCACTAACTGCTATTTTCAGAGAAATATACACTACATTTACATTTTGTATAATACAGTGATTTTAGCAAATCTTTTCTAAAACAACATTCAGCATTTTGCCTTTGTATTTCCTTTGTTATATTCTAAATAGACAACCATTGTCAGAGACATTTCTTCAGTCCTGAATGAGGGGAGGGAAAAATTATAATTCTTAGTCTTTTCAGCTTGTCACTACATCAATAATTAACTTAAAAAAAGAGAGAGGCAAGTATAAAAAGATTCTTTAAGGAAGCATTTAATAATTCAAATGAATCTTAACTTGAAACAGGTCACATGAAAAAGAATGAGAAACAAAAACCCTGGGTGCTCTGCCTTCGTTGGCAGATTTAGGGGCTCAGAAAGAATAAGAGAAACATCATAGAACTGACTTATATTTGGCTAATTTTCAGGGAAAAATCACTGTTTTTCTCATAATAACCAAAAAAGAAAGACTTCTTGAAGAATAATGTGTGTGATTGCAAGTCCAGTAATGAAAAACAAAAGGAAGGAAGAAAGAAAATCTTTACAGCATAGATTCCAGGAAAATACCGTGATGAATGATTCTATGAGTGGCAATCAAACAGAAAGGCTGGGTGGCATTAATATTTATAATATTGTAATTAGCAAAACTGTGTCTAAGCAGCATTATTAGTGTAACTAATCATATTATCATAAACTGAGTCTGCAGTATTTAGACACTGAGTGTTCTTGCCTTTATCAATGACCATCAATATTCTAAGACTGTTCATAATTGTAAAAAATTCACAAATAACTTTAACTCATTCCATGTAAATGTCTCAAGTAAATGGTTTCTGACACGATAGATTATGACCATCGATAAAAGCATTGTCTCAAATTTGAGTGGTTGCCATGTGAGCTGAAATGCAAGTCTCTGCATTGCACTGTGTCATTTTGTCTTTAAAGGACTTCCACGCTCATTTCAAAACTTACATATTCAAATAAAAGATGGATAATGATGGAGACACTTGTGTCAATGACATAAGTGGAAATTGATTTTTCTGATAGTTTGAATCTAGATTCAGACTTTATTTTGGTAAGCCCAGCCTTCATTAAAATCCTAAGTATAATTTTGGCATTATTATTTGTTTTAAAAAAGATTTTGCCTATGTGATTATATTAGTGATTCATTTTTCAGAGCTAAGTTGAAGAACAAGCAGATGGTCTGCTAATAGATCTGTGCTCCTGAATTCTCTGGTGCAGGCTGACATGACTAAAACAATAGGTGACTATCCCCTTTAGGTTAATATCCCTAATAGTGAATCAAAGCACATTGGATCCAAGGTACAGGTGGCTTCCTAATTGTTCCTTCCTAGTGTTGCTGGGTTGGGGACAGAGAGGGAAGAGGAGGGTTTTTGAAAATAATTCATATTATGCTTACATTCGCTAAAGAATAGGATTCTACTCTTTGCAATGTTTTCGTGCCACAGGGAAAACAGGAGCAGTGATAGTCCCTTTTTAGAATGACCCACTAGAAGTAGTTTGCTTCTTTAAACAGGAAAGATTTATTTAGAAAGTACAATTGTTACTCTACTTAATCTTTCACTCAGAGGTCAGGCTAGAATAAATTAGAGTAGAAATTTAGAGGAAACCAATTACAATGCAGTGTTTGAAGATTGAGAGAAATTGAGGCTCTAATGGTGGAAACAAGGATTTAGCCAAATTAGTCATGTTTTCTTTTAAGCAATTAATATATTGAATATACCCTCCCTAAGTATACCTCACTTACTAATTGATTAAACTTCCCAAGCAATGTTTCTTCAGCAGGCTTTGAAAGGGCTAGAAGTCAGGCATTTATAGTTGGCACTGGTCTTATAGAACCAGTTGTATGCATTTGTGCCAGTAAGAAAATGAATCCCACAGGAAGAGCAATTGGGAACTGCATCACCTCTGAGCTGTTGATCTTGAACTGTTGGTACTTGGGTACCAGGTGGCTCACTTGTGGAAAATGTCCACTCCGAGGCCCCCTCCCCCAGAGATCCTGATTCAATTGGTCAGAAGTAAGTCCGGGAACCTGCAATTTAACATCCAGATGGGAAAGAAGAGCTTCAATGATCTGTGTTCCCCAAAGGAATGAAAAAGAGAATATCTGTAGACTAGTCAGTGATCGAGAAGTTCTCAATGAGCACAATACAAGCTTCTCTTGAAAGAAAAAGATGCAAATAATTTTTTGAGCTAGTAAAGAAATGAAGTAGAGAGGCAGGAGAGGAAATCCAGAGAAGCAGCTTGATGGGTTCTGAATGGCCAGCAGTTGAAAATACTGTAAGGAACCAGGACAGGAAATTCATGTACAGTAGCATAAAAAAAAAATGTAAACAGAGTTGTGAGGACAGAAACACTTTGCTGTCAAAGACTTGGTATCCAGTGTCCTGTTAAACATCAAGTGGAAAGCCTGTTGGGAATAAGGAACAAACTATTTATTCATAGGTTCGTTAGAATGGAAGGGTCTCGGTAGCAAACACCTTGTTATTTTATACTCAGTCATCCTGTTTCCCTCTCTTCCTGGAGAAAACCTAGACAACTCCATGGAAGTGCAGTGGTTACCTGCTACATATAGGACAGTGGTGATTAGCAGAGTTCAGAATAAAACTGTTAGGTGTGCTTGATGCTTCATTACTTACTAGGTAGGCAACTTGGGCAAGTTGATTAATCTCTCTAAATCTGTTTCGAAAACTATAAAATGAAGATAATCATACCAGTCCACAATCCTTCATTAACAATTCTGAAAACCAAAAAGCGCTGAAACCAAATGTTTCACATAACTCATTTGGCAGCAAAACTGATCTGAACTGATGTGAGGCTATTTGTAATCTTTATTTATTCCTCTTAGAGCAAACATTTAAATGTTTGCTGTGGAAAGACTAAGGTGTTTGATTCTAGGTTGCTCCCCCACACCTTGCTAGAGATATGTGCACCATTTTACCTGTCTAACATCCAAAAGACAACTCTGAATTCTGAGATACATTTGCCCCAAGGACTTTAGATAATTTAAGTATTATCATGCTAAAATGAGAATATGAATCCAATAACACCTTTATCCACAAATAACACCTTCATCCACAAATTCTTTTTTTTTTTTTTTTTTTTTTTTTTTGTGGTACCCTCGCCAGTGGCCAGGGAATGAACTGGCGCTGCAGAGGCTGCAGGCAGCCTCGCAGCCCTGCGCGCAACCACTGCCCCACAAGGGGAGGCTCTCCACAAATTCTTTTTTAGAGCTGTAAGCAAAGAATATGTAATTTTAGTGATATTAGAAAATAAAATGTTGGTATTTGGTATCTGTAGGTGTGACAAATAAGAATTGTATTGTGATTGCTTAAGAAAAATGAAAAAAAAAACTAGATGATCCTCTAATATTAGATCAGAAAATTGTACACCCAGAAAACATGGAAGGAAATGTCCTTACTATTCTCTGTTTTGGATGCAAAAGGGATTCTTAAGCAAGAGCCTTTGAAAAGGAAACAATGCAGGGTCTGCATATATGTTCACATGCTGCTCCCTCTATCTGCAAAATCTTTCCAGTTCTATAAAGAGAAATTCTCAAGTATGTCCTTTTTGGAATTACTCTCAGACCTCTACTTCAGATTTAATTTCTCTTTGTCTTTATCAGCCTCACAGGCTGCAGGTGTCACGCAGCATATGAATTTTTACAGGTATATTCCCTTTACTAGACCTTAAGCACACTTGTTGTATTCATCTTTGTATCCTAATTTCTTGGACACCCACTGATATAGAATAAGGACTTTATAATTGTGATTGAGTAAGAAAATGAGTAAGTGAATGTTGAAAAAAACAGTCTAGTAGGAGCATCATTAATCATCACTTGACTTAGCAGGTCATTAGTTTTCCCATTATGTCAGAAATGAAAAGAAGGTAAAAAGAAGAGACATAAATTTTGAACTTAAAACTCTCTTTTGTATGAATGTAGCTCAGAGCGATGAGAAGGAAAGAGGCCAGAATGGAGAGAATGAGGTAGTCAGGTGAGCAACCTTCACTTTTTTGTCTTGTCAAAGTGTGCCTAGAATGTCAACTTCTTGAGGGCCTCCATCACACCATGTGTCCTGGTGCAGACACAGTGTCAACCACAGGAGCTTAGCCACATGGTAGCTGAATTGCTGAATGAATATATTGATCAATCACTCATTTATTATAAGATCTATTTTTAAATGTCACTTCCTTGTTCATGAAGTCTTCTATCTCCCTCTTCCTCTCCCTTCAGGAAATTCCAGCCACTCCTTGAGCCATTTGCACACATATTGCAGCTATCACATTATCTTCTAGTTCTGTTTCTTCTTGTCCATCATTGATCTTACGATTATGAGCATCTTGAGAACAGCAAGCATGTCTTATTTATATTTCATTTTTCAAGCATCTAGCACAAAGCTAAATGCTTATAGAATTAAGTTGTACAAACTATGGTATCCTTATTTAGGAGGAAAAAAAAATAAAGCCAATTTATAATTAAAATTCCAGCCAGGTA